AGTTTAATTTTGGTGAGGAATTTTCAGACTGTACTCTGGGAATAAATGGGAGGGGAGAAATAAAGAGAAGTCAGAGACTACCAGTAAACTACAATGTAATTTCCAGAGAAGAAGCAATGGCAACTTGAGGGGGAGGGGCAGTCCTCCTATGCTTTAAGCAACTACCTGTCACTTAATTACACTGCTCATCAAAACACCATTTCACCCAAGAGCTGTTTATGCACAGCTCAGCTATTGGTATTATACTGGAAATTAAAACTTAAAAATCTAAAATGTCAATTCAAAAACTCTTTCCAATGACTAGTCTTCAGAAAGACAGTTGCAATTTCCTAGCAGAGAAAGCTGCACCAGAGGAGAGGAGAGAGCTCATTGCTGAGAGCAAGGGCTCTCTTATGGGGTCTGGGTTCTCAGAACCCATATAGTTCACAACCATCCAGAACTCCAGTTTTAGAGGACCCAGCACCTTTCCTGGCCTCCACAGGCACCAGGCACACGTGGCAGGTGCATCGACATACAAGCACAAAACACCCACATACATATATACATACATACATACATACATACATACATACAAAACACCCACATACATACATACATACATACATACATTTTTTTTGTTGTTGTTGTTGTTTTGAGACAGGGTTTCTCTGTGTAGCTTTGGAGGCTGTTCTGGAACTTTCTCTGTAGACCAGGCTTGCCTGAATTCACAGAGATCCGCTTGCCTCTGCCTCCCGAGTGCTGGGATTAAAGGCGTGCGCCACCAATGCCCGGCACATACATTTTTTAAAAAGCTGGATTTTGGGTTTTTTTGCACTGTTTTTGGTTCTACATTCACGAGGTGCAGGGAGGACACACGGCACAAGATGCACAAGGTGGAGATCAGAGAACAACTTGTGAGAGTCAGTTCTCTGCTTCCACCACCAGTAGCTGGGACTCAAGACTCTGGTTGTCAGTCAGGGCTGACAACAAGCACCTACCCACTGAACCATCGAGCCAGTCAACGCGTAACTTTAACAGGTGATAGCTGGGTTTTCCTGTGAGGCACTGAAACAGTCTGTTCAGAAACCACTTTGGCAACTACTCAGAGTCAAACATACAGTTACCATGTGACCCAGCAACTCTACTAGGTCTACAACCAAGAAAAATGAAACCATATGTCTACAAAAAAGCACAAGTATCATGAGGGTTCATAGAGACATTACTATTCATAACAAAACCAGAGACTTACATGTCCAACAGGTAATGAAGAAAACAAGATGTGGCGCACATCCACACAGTGGCATATAGGAAACGCGTGGGCAATTCTGAGATAGTTCACAGGTAAGGAAAGGTATTGGCCATCACATCTGGTGCCATGACTTCAACCCTTAGGACCCACACATTACCTTCTGATCGCCACACACACATTCACATGTGCAGAATAAACAAATGCCTTGTTGAAGGCCAGCCTGGGCTCTACAGGGAGAACTTGCTGCAAAAACTAAAACAAGGATGCTGGCGGCGGTGGCAAGGCATACTTTTAATCCCAGCACTCAAGAGGTGGAGGCAGGCGAATCTCAGTGAGTTGGAGGCCAACTTGGTCTACAAAGTGAGCTCCAAGACAGTCAGAACTATACAGAGAAACCATGTCTCAAAAAAAAAAAAAAAAAGCCCCAACCTAAAACAAGGAAGAGTATAGGTCTTTGTTTTTTTTTTTCTTGTGTGTGTGTGTGTGTGGGGGGTGTTACACAAGTCTATGAATGTTTTATGTATGAGACTTTTTCTGCTACTTATGAGCTCCTACAAGCAGCTTTGAGAATTCCAGAATTCTCAGAGAGAGAGAGAGAGACAGAGAGAGAGAGAGAGAGAGGAGAAGAGAAGGGAGGGAACTTGTGTACAACTTGTGAATGTGGGCCTTCTCTGATGAGGGAGGTTACAGTACTTCTAGGTCAGCATAACACTGACATAAGTCATGCAGGTATTGAACTCCCAGGCTCGTCTTGATACTAAGTGACACATGTGGGTGTTGTTTTTTTAAATATGATTTGCAGTGTGGGGGTGGGGTGGCAAACACCTGTAATCCAAGCACTCTGGCGCAGAGGCAGACGGATTTGAGTTTGAGGCCAGCCTGGTCTACAGAGGGAGCTCCACTCAGGACAGCCAGGCAACACAGAGAAACAAACCCCAACAAAAAATGTTATTTGCCTAACAGCATAAGCGTTCAGTATTCTTTCCCTTCCCTGCCCCACAAGTTAAGATTTTTCAGAATTAAATACTTCCCAACATCAACCTGCCATTTGAGAGGATGTGGGGTGCACTGGGGACTCAGCCAGGGCCTCCTGCATCTGAATCACAGGCTCCAACCCTGACCCCTGACCCCAGCCCCACTCACAATCACCAAGCATTTTTAAAGGAGATCCTACTGCTACCAAATACTACTCATTGACAAACTTTCATCTATAGCAAATATCAAACCTACTAAGTTCTATAAGAAAAAGTTACACAATGTAGACCTTGTCTTGTGCTACAAAGAATTTTACAAATAGAGCCCCTGGATGTGCTTTATCTTTTTCTTGTACATGTCTCTAAGTGTGCTCCCCTGGCTCACTCAGCAGTTTGATGTGTTTTCCGTTTGTGGTGCAGGGGTAAGCTTTCAACTTTTAGCACATTTTCAGTTTCCACAGAAAACAGGCAAAACTACAAACATTAAGCAATATCAGAACAAGTTACTCTAGGAAGCTTTACTTCTACCCATCAAATCATTTTTAGTTACAGCACAGTAAAATATATACTTCCATGGAATTTAAAATTTTAGTGTCACTCTTACAAAAAAAAACTTACGGATCTTCACATAAATACTTCTTTCATTTATAATATATATTTCTAATGTCCTGAAGTAAAATGTGGAAGCTGATGATGGACATCTAAACTGAGGGTCTTAGAAAGACTCAAGAGCTTCATAATTTAATATTGCTACACATTCATTAAACAGCTACAATAAAAAAACCCTGTTCACAGAAAATATTAGCAAGGATACAATACAAGAGAAACACACACCCATATGCTGTTGGTTGTTTCTTATAAAACTAGACAGAACAGGCTAGAAAAGGTGGCGTAGGCCTTTAATCCCAGCACTTGGGAGGCAGAGGCAGATGAATCTGTGAGTTCGAAGCCAGCCTGGTCTACCAAGTAAGTCCCAGGACAGCTGGGGCTACATGATGACACAGTCTCAAAGTAAAACAAAGTAAAGCAGGGCATGTTGGCGCAGCCTTCAATCCCAGCACCAAGGAGGCAGTTGCGAGCTGGAGGCCAAGCTAGTCGATGCGAAGAGTTCCAGGACAGCCATGGCTGTTTCACACAGAAACCCTTGCTCTGGAAAAACAAAAACAAAACACCACCACAAACAAAACAAAAACCCAAAAGTAAACAGAACTATTCTAATGCAGGTAAAGGCATACAGTCTCAAAATGACTTACATGAGGAACTACTGAAAAAGACCCTGGCATATTCACGCTATGGAAAACCACAGAGCAGTTAGGTACCGAGCTGGAGACATGGTTCGGTGGTGACTGGAGTCTGTGCCTAGTATGCGAATATCTGGGGTGGGAGGGGCACAAACATCCACAAGGATGAATCTCAAAAAAATGCTGAGTGAGGGAAAGAAATAGTCTTCCCCAAAAGACTGCATTACACACGGCTCTGCTTATGTGAACTTCTGGGCAGGCAAACTCAATCTCTGTTGGAGAACAAAATACCCCACAGAGGTGACAAAAAAGCCACACCAAAGTTTTCAAGTCAACTATAACAGGCTACACCTAGTTGTGTGCTGGCTGGGACAGGTGGACTTGTGAAAACGGGCTAGGGCAACCATGTGCACCTCATTGCACCTCAAATTTATGTGGAATAAGTTTTTTACAACAGCTGCTCTCAAGTTAACTAACGTGCACACACCTTACCAATATTAATATTTACACCTCAAAACTGTATTTCAGAAATAAGAGACGCACAACCCAGCAAGTGCAGGGAAATGTCAATTGTGGGTGATGTACACACAAGCGGGGACAGATGTTTTCAACTTTTTACAGCCGCGTGAACACGGAACGATGATTCAGTCAACAGTAGTTTCTCTCAGCTGATGCCACACACCCTCCTGTTTCACAAAACACGACTTCACCCTTGGAACTAGATACACGTTCAGAGACCCTAAAGGCACGTTCCAGTGCTTGTTAATTGCGTCCTCATAAAACTGTTCACAACGTTTGGGACTTGTCAACAATTCGAGCGCTCCAGAATGTGTTGGACTGATACATTTGGTAAATTCTACCAAGGCTTTTACTTAGTTGCAAAATTTGTCTTACTGAACCCGGTTTAAAGCAATTATTCGTTTAGTAAGATTTCCCATTAAAACCCATTTTGTTTGTCTTGCGTTCGGTAGCAACCACTAACTCCCAGCCAGGTACGGCTCTCGTCCCCCTGAAACCAAACAATAACCTGCGCAATGACCGGCAGCCGGGCGGCGACGACGACGACTGTGTTGAAACAGAAAGCAGCGAGTCGCCGGTGAGAATCAAAGCCATTTACTCGTCTCCGTCAGGCGCGAGCTACGACAACGTTGGCTGGAAACGACCTCCCCACGTCATAGTCTTTTTCATACATGTATTATGTATATACGTATAAAAGGGCTGAAAGGTGGGAAAGACTTCAGCGCTCACGGCCCAGAACCGGGCCTGCACGCGCTGCTCGCCCCAAACCTCTGCGGTTCCGAGCAGGTGAAACAATGCCCCCACCCCCCACCGCGCCGGGCCAAAGGACGGGCGAGCGCCGCCCTGCTCGCCCCGCTCGCCCGCAGCAGCGCCCGGCTCCTTTGTCAGCAGCCGGGTCCCGAGGCCCGGAGCTCGGCGGCCGCGGCGCAGCCCAGCCCAGGCCCGCGAGGCCCGGCCCGGCCCAGCCTAACCCAGGCCCCGCAGAGCTCCCGGGGGCCGCCCGCCCGCCCGGCCTCCCTTCCCGGCCCGGGGCCTCACCTGCTGGACCGAGCTGTCCTCGGGCACAGCGAACTCCTCCTTCTCCTTCGGCGTCTTCACCGTGACCTTCATGATCTTGGGCTCCGCGGGGCCGCCGTCGGCCGCGCCGTCCTGCGCGCCCGGGGGGCCGCCGCTCTCCGCGCTCTCGGCCATGGCGGTGACTCAGGCGACCGGGACGCTGGGGGCTGCGGCCGGGCCGGCGGGGCGGGGCGGGGCGCGGCGGGGCGGAGCCGCCGAGGGCTGCGGCTGCGGGCCCGGGTGAGCGAATGAGCGAGCGAGCGATCGGCCGGGGGCCGTGTGGACGCGAGCGAGCGAGCGAGCGGGGAGGGGTGGGAACTCTCCGCGCCGCCGCCGCCGCCGCCGCTTCCTCCTGCCGCACCTCCCCCACGCCCGTCGCCGGCGCCGCGCGGGGCACGCTGGGTAACGCGCTGGCCGCGGCGCCGACGCCAGGCGGCCGGCCGCGCGAGGCACGCCGGGTAGCGCGTCGGCGAGGGAGCCGACTCATCGTCGCCCGGCCCCTGCCTCTCTCTCTCTCCCGGCCGGTGGGCGGGCAGGCGGGCAGGAGCCCTGGGCCCGGCGGCGGGGGCGGGACACTCGTTTCGCTGCTTCCCCGGCTTCGTCACGGGGAGCAGCTAACCGGGGGACGGGGGGGATTTCGCTGGCCGGGCACCGCCGTGGCGCACGAGGATGACGTCACGGCCGGCGAACTTGCTAGAAGCGGCCTGGCTTCCCCTGGACGCCCACGGTCCCGGCGTCTCCCCCATGCCTCCCGCTCCCGGGCCTGGCCCCCTGGTTCTCGTAAGCGCGGTGTGGGCCCGGGACCGGGTCTGGGAAGGAACCACGGGACCCGGGACAGGACGCCGCCGCCCGCCCGCCCGCCCTGCTGGTGTCAGTGAGGCCGCAGCTCGCAGCTTCCCCTCCCCCGAGTGGAACCGGCTCGGGCAGAAGATTAGGGCCGCCCTCGTGTGTCCTCGGCGCTCCGTGTGCGCGCGCGTGTGTGAGTGTGCATGTGTGTGTGACACAGGGGGACCGCCCGCCCGGGCTCGGGGGGCCACCAGGCATAGTCGAGGCGAAGGCATTTCCAACGCCGCGTAGGCACAAATCAGCTCTTTTTACAAGTCAGCTCTCGATCTGTCTTTTTTTTTTTTTTTTTTAACGTGTGAGTCCCACGTCGCTTATCCGTAAAGGTGACTCGTCATACCTCCTGGCACTTTACGTCGACTGGTGTTGCACAGACGTGAGCTCTTGACAGCCTGCCGTGACCGACCCAAGTAACGCGCAGACATAAATAATTACGATTTTTGCTCTCAGGCCGTCGAACCCTGTTCCGTGACTCACCGCTGTTGCATAAGCCCTTCCTAGCAGAGCCCTTTGAAATCCGGGTCAGAGTTGCGAAGGTGCAAATCGCGAGGCAGCTATCGTTCGATATCCCCTCGTGCCTGCTGGCATTGTTCTGCAACAGGGAGAGGTTACACGGCTCATGTCCAGGTGTGAGAAGATGGTCGCTTCTTGGGGTAGGAAGTTCCACCATTGGGCGGCGAGCAAGCATTTTTGGACATTTCTTGTGTATATTTCAGTGAAATCTCTTCCCAATTGGATTAGCTCCCTGTTCCCGTCTGGTTTTCCTTCGGGCAGTATTTTCCCTGTGTTTTTCCCCTAGGCTGCCTCTCATGCCTACAGTGACCTCCGTTCCCTTCCCCTGCCCAAGTTTCTTTATTCTCACATCACATTTCCCTTGAAGTCTTTACTCCCCTGCCCTTTGGAAGCCTGACCTGTAGCTGTGTACACGTGGAACGGCCTTATAATTGTCTATATTGATTTTCCTATGCTCTGTATGAAAGTACAATAAACTCATGGCTTCTCCCAAGAGAACTTTGGTGGAATCATGCCTCGGTTTGTTGTTGAGACCTTGGAGGGGGTAGCCACTGCTGATGTTGTCCACTGGGAAGGAACATTAGCAAGACGGCACACTTTGTGGAGTATTTAGTGTATCAGTTGCTTCCTTCATTGCTTTAAGCAAAAGGCAGGAACAGCCAAGGATGAGAGCCTCATGGATGCCTTGGGTGTATGTAATCAGGCTGACAGTTAACCATCACAGGCGAGGTAGATCGCCATTAACTGTCCATCCTCCTGGTGTTAACCTGGCAGAACCATAAACTATGAAGAACCACTGGCAGTGTGGACAGGGTCTTTCTAGATAGATCTGTAAACTTGCTCCAAGGATTTGGGTCCAGTGGGCCATGCAGTCTCTGTCCAAAATACTCAATGTGGATACATTGCTGATCTTTGCTCCAGATGTCTATTTGAACCTTTTTTTCGTAGTGTGGGGGTAGCTTTTATTAAGTTGTTGGTCTGGAGGCAATTATAAGAATATACAAGGTCATTTGGGTCATAAAATACCTGGAATTTGACCATTCAGCTCTCACAACCTAGTTTGAGCAGCTCCAACAAGATAATGGCTCATGGCTTCAGTCCCAGCACGTGGGAGGCAGAGGCAGGCAGATGATCTCTGATGTCAAGGGCAGTTTGGCCTACAGAACAAGTTCTAGGACAGCTAGGGCTACACAGAAAAACCTTGCGTTGTGGGGGAGTATTCCTTGACAACATGAGTTAACAAGAATTTATTGAACACCATTTAGCAAGTTTATTCTAAGCCTGTGTATAAGAATTAATGTAACAAATACAATGTCATACATATGTCAGATAGGAGATAAAAGTATTATGTTACTCCCTGTGCTAGTTGTATGTCAGCTTGGCACAAGCTGGAGTCATCAGAGAGGAGGGAGCCTCGATTGAGGAAATGCCTCCATAAGATCAGGCTGTAGTAGGCAAGCCTGTGGGACACTACCTTTTCTTAGTGACTGATGTGGGAGGGCCCAGCCCACTGGGTGGGGCAACCCCTGAGCTGGTGATCCTGGGTTCTATAAGAAAGCAGGTTGAGCAAGCCATGAGGAGCAAGCCAATAAGCAGCTCCCGTCCATGGCCTCTGCAACAGCTCCTGCCTCCAGGTTCCTGCCCTGACTTCCTTTGATGATGAACAGTGATATGTAAATGTAACCAAATTAACCCTTTCCTCCCCACACTACTTTGGTCATGTGTCACTACAGCAGTAGTACCACTAACTAGGACACTTCTCTATTGTACAGTCTGTATAAAACAAACCCAAGAGCTTCAGGAGAGGCAGGAGGATCTTAAGTTCCAGATAGATCATCTTCAGATACATAATTTGAGGCCTACCTTAAAAGGAAAAAAGCAAAAAAAGAAATGACATTTTATGAAAACTTTTAGTTCCTTATCTGTGTAACACTCAAAATAAATCTTAGTGTGGTTTCCCCAGTCTGTGGTGGTGCCAAGATCCCATTATAAACTTACATTTAATTTCAGTTGTATTTCATGATCTTCTTTCTTATCTGGCTGGGATTTACTTGAGATGTGGGAAGAGGCCTAAGACTATCCCAGTGAGTCTTCCTGTGGCACCTTCTATTGCACACAGTGCTGCTGATTATGGGAACAAGACTGTAGGTGCTGCCCATCTCAGAAGTTGTCAGACTGGTTCTCCTGGAAACTGCTCTGTTAGATAGGCTCTGGCTCCAGTCTTTTTGGTTTTCAAAACTGCAAGCCTAGTAATTGCTTTGTAGATGACAGCTTTATTCCAAACAACTGGATTTAAAATGTGTTTCCTGATCTCCTCTACGTAAAGATTTTGCTGCTCTATTTGTGGAAACCATAAGCAGATAAGCTGTATGGAAATGGTAAATGCTCTGCAGTAACAAGTTTTCAAACGGGTTCATGAAGCAAATCTAGGATAACGAGGCGTCTTAGGGAAAACACATTTTCAGGACTGAAATCAGGTTTGTAAGGAAAGGAAGGCCTTTACCTCTCCCTGCAGCATGCTGGAGGATACCCACGTTCTAAGGAAAGAAAGGCCTTTACCTCTCTCTGCAGCATGCTGGAGGATACCCACGTTCTGCGACTTCTTGGCTACATCACTTAACCTCTACTTCAGTTACCACTTTCTGCTCTATTTGCTCTTTCTCTTCATAAGGGTGGTCGCCCACCTACATAAGCAGGCCTCTTCGCATGCAACAATGTAGCCAAGAATTCTGTAGACTAGAGTTGCACAGGTGTTGTGAAATAGTTTCCTCTGAGATTGAAACATTCCATCCTGAGGGGAAACTCCTTAATTAGGAAAGTAAACAACTCAAGATAGCTTGAGGAAGTCCCTGAAACAGACCAGATTCTCAGATCCCCTCCCTGCCAGAGTAAGCAATAGGAACAGTTGCAAAAAAGATTCTCAGACAAGCCAGGCTACAAAAAAGACCACCCTAGCCCAGCTGCCTGGAAGACGCCAAAACAGCTGGACTGCCTGGAAGACAACAGTTATTGTCATGACAACAGTCATGTCTACTGAGGCACCAAGAACACTCTCCAACATGTTGACATGCCTGTAGTCTGTGCAGTGAGCTTCAGGTTCCAGCTTTGTGAGCTGTCACCCGTGCTGAGGTGGGTGCTGATGCAGCTATCTGAGTCATTTCTGCTGCCATAAGTAACATCTCACACATATTCCTGTAAGTAACCCCAATAAAACTCATTGACTTACCAAATTGAACTTTGGTGGTATCCCTACTTTGATCTCTCCTGGGATCCCTATCTGGGGTGAGTAGATGTGTGTGTTGTGTCTCCCCAGGAAAGTTTTGTCACACAACAACATGCAAACAGGAGGACCCCATAAAGACGGATCTGTGTGAGTTCAAGGCCACCCAGGGATACATGAGATTGGATCAGTCTAAAAGTAACAGATCACACACCTTTAATCCCAGCACTAGAAGGGTATAAAAGATAGAAGCAGGGTCCTTCAGTATTCGGTAGGAGGCATTCATTCTCCAGCCACACATATTCCTACATCAATCGTGGATAAAGAAAATGTACCATAGGCCAACCTGGTGGGGGCATTTTCTTAATTGAAGTTCCCTCTTCCAAAATGACTAGCTCGGTAAAATTGACATAAAATTAACCATCACAATTGGTTAGAGATAATAAGTAAACCTTAAATCCTGCTCATAAGTGTAATGGTGGATATTTTTGGTTCTGTGTGTCAGCATTGAGACTGAACTGGCCCAGCAGATCAGACTTTCCATAAGGTTTCACCTTAGCTGAACCCTTTGAGTGAGACCAAGGACACATGGACACTGTCAAGTGACGGTCCTGCTGAACAAACAGCTTGCTTTGGGAGAAACATCAAAAGGACAGGGAGGAGAGAGATGAATTTTACTGATGACAACCCCCTTATGAAATCACTTTTGTCTGTAACAGCTTTGTACATA